CCCTGAAAAATGAGTACTGTGCACACCCTCGCACCGCACAGGAGGCATATGCGCGCTTTCCCCGTTCGTCTTAAGAGCGCCGGAGGCCTGGTCCCGCTGCGGGTCGCCCGCGTTACCTTCTCGGCTATGCTGTAAAGAACCTCGTCCATCTTCATGCAGGTGGGGTCCCAGTCGTGCCCGAACCGAATGACGACGACTCGGTCTTCCTCCGAAAGGATGGCCTGGTCCACCTGCCAGCCATTGTGCAAGTGCGGGAGCATGTACGACATCTCGGCGCCGGGCAGACGCCTGCGCAGGGGACACCAGCGAGGGCCGCTCAGCCCAGGCCGGGGGCTCACGAGCCACCGGGAAGCTTCGACCGCGGGGAAGGGCCACGGGTAGGGAAAGCAGGCCTTCCGGAAGCCACCCCCCCGAGCCCCTCACCTCCGGCCCTTGCCCTGGACCCCCGGGTCCTCCCAAGTCCGGCCCTTCACATCTCGGCTCTCACCCTGGACGCCTCCCTCGGTCCTCCCGCCTCTCAGTCCTCGCCCTGAAGCCCCCTGGTCCTCCTACCCTACTACCGCCCTCCGCCGCGAACCCCAAGTGCTCCCACCTCTGGCCCCTCACCTCCACAGCACTAAGACCTCCCGCCCAGACCTACCTCCGAGCGCGCACGCGCCGACGCCGTGCGTACCGACGCCGTGCGCGCTGTCGTTGTGCGTGTCTGCGGCGACGGCAGGGTGTGCTGACTGCGGTGCTGGCGACGGGCTGGGGAAGGCGCTGGGCCCTGACTGTGTTGTCTGGCTGAGTGGCCATTCGTTAAGCGTACTTTCTGGAAGCTCGTAGGCTTCCTTGTTTCCTTCCTCGCGAGCCTGGCTGATCCGTCCCACGTGCTGCGTCTCGTGGGTAGCCGGGTGAGGAGTCCAGGCCAGTGCGGGGCGGGTCGGGAGGCTGGAGGTCCCTCGTCAGACTCCGCGTGCAGCGGGTAGCGGGGAGGGAGGCCGGCTGGTCTCGGAGGCGGCGGAAGTGGCCTCGGCAGACCTCAGAGCCCTCTCCCGTGAGTGGGGACGGAGCAAAACCCTGTGCCTCACAGCACCTCAGATGCGCGAGTCCGGGCCCTGGTTGCCCTGGCTAACCTCGCCCACTGACTTCTGCCAAATTCCCAAGTCAGCGTCTTGCCAGTCAGGTTTTTCAGGGGTAAACTCAATTGGCTTAAATTGTCACCATTTACTGACAGAAGAGTGCTCCAAGCTAAGGCTTAAGACTCACCTGTCCCCAAGTAATTTATTTAAACTAGTCTTTTTTTTTTTTTTTTTTTTTTGAGACGGAGCCTCAAGCTATCCCCCTGGGTAGAGGGCCATGGCATCACACTCACAGCAACCTCCAACTCCTGGGCTCAAGCGAGTCTCCTGCCTCCGCCTCCCAAGTAGCTGGGACCACAGGCGCCCGCCACAACGCCTGGCCATTTTTTGGTTGCAGCCATCATTGTTGTTTGGCGGGCCCGGGCTGGGGATTCGAACCCGCCACCTTAGGTGTATGTGGCTGGCGCCTTAGCCGCTTGAGCCACAGGCGCCGAGCCTAAACTAGTCTTTTTAAAAAAGTTTATTATGGTAAAATACATACGACATAAAACTGACCACTTTAAGGATGTAAGTTCAGTGGCATATTGTGCCACCATTAATTACCACTTAACATGTTAAGATAAATCTTAACTTTAAAAAAAAAAACTTTTTTGAGCTGTAAGTCACATACAATAAAACTCACCGATTTAAGGTGGTTTTCAGAGTTGTGGAACCAACACAACAATCCAAGTTTAGATCACATTTATCATCCTGAAAAGAAACACCTTACCCATTTCTCTATTTCCCTCCCCTCAGCCTTTGGTGACCACCAACCCATTTTCTACCCCTGTGTCTTAGACATTTCATATTGCTGGAAACACCTAACGGCATGTGACTGCCTTATTTCATTTAGCTTACTGTTTTCAAGGTTCATCCATATTATAGCAGACATCAGTACTTGGTTCTTTTTTATTACTGATCAATAAATATTTCATTATGTGGATATACTGCAGTTCATGTGCTCATCAGTTGATTGACATTAGGTTTTTCACTTTTGGGCTGTTATGAATAATGCTGCTACTAACATTCATGTACAAGTTGTTGTGTGGACTTAAACTTTCATGTAGTAACCATGTACAACATTTTCTTCCCTTTCTTTCTTTCTTTTTTTTTTTTCCTTTCTGGCCAGCGGACTTCAGTATGTTTAACATTCTGAGGAATAACCACTGTTTTCGAAAGTGGCTACACCATTTCATATTCTCACCAGCAATGTGCGAGGGTTTCAATTTCTCCACATCCTTGCCCATAGTTACGTACTTATTATTATGGTCACACTGCTGGGTATGAAGTGGTATCTTATTGTGCTTTTACTTTGCATTTCCCAAATGGTTAGTAGAGCATCTTTCCATATGCTCATTGACCATTTAGAGAAATAGCTAGCTATGTCCTTGACCCATTTAAAAATTGGGTTATCTTTTTATTATTGAGTTGTAAAAGTACTTTTTATATCAGGATAGAAATCTCTTCTCAGATAAATGGTGAAAATATTTTCTCCTATTCTGTGCATTGTCTTTTTTTGTTGGTATCATTTGCAGCACAAGTTAAATTTTGATTAAGTCTGTTTTCTCTTTTGTTGCTTGTGCTTTTGGTATTCTATCTAAGAAACCATTGCTCAATTCAAGGCCATGAATATTTACTCCTGTTTTCTTCTAATTTTATGTCTTATATTTAGGTCTGTGATTCATTTTTGCTAAATTTTGTGTTTAGTATGAGGTGTCCAACTTTATTCTTTTTGCATGTGCATATTCACTTATCCTCCCACCACGTGTTAGATTATTCTATCCTTACCAGCTGTCTTGGCACCCTTGTTGAAAATCAGTGATTTTAAATATAAGGATCTATTCTGTACTCTCAATTCTATTCCATTGATTCATGTTTAGCCTTATGTAAGATAGAAGTACAGCCCTGTCTTAATTTTTTCTAAGTCTTGAAATTGGGAAGTCTTAGTCCTCCAACTTTGTTTCTTTTCAGGATTGGTTTGGCTATTTGGAGTTCCTTGCAGTTCCATATGAACTTTAGCATCAGTTTGTTAATTTCCATAAAAAGGACACCAAGGATTTTAATAGGGATTGTGTTGAATCTATACCCTAATTTAGAGAGTGTTGCCTTTATTGCCATCTATCCACGAACATAAAGTTTCTTTCCTTTTTATTTAGGTCTTTTTGATTGCTATGTTACATTATATTTTTCAGTATATAGTTTTCACATTTTTGTTAAATTTACTCCTAAATATTTTATTATTAGTATTATTGAGACAGAGTCTCACTTTTGTCACCCTGGGTAGAATGCCATGGCATCATAGCTCACAGCAACCTCAAACTCTTGGGCTTGAGCAATATTCTTGCCTCAGCCTCCTCAGTAGCTGGGACTACAGGCACCCAGCTAATGTTTTTTTCTATTTTTAGTAGAGACCTAGTCTCCCTCTTGCTCAGGCTGATCTTGAACTCCTAAGTTCAGGCAATCCACTTGCCTCAGTCTTCCAGAGTGCTAGGATTTCAGGCATGAGCCACTTCACCAGGCCCAAAATATTTTATTTTTAATGCTATTGAAATGGAATACTTTTTAAATGTTACTTTCAGATTATTCATAGCTACTGTATAGAAATACAATCAGTTGTAATTGATCTACCTAGCTGCAACTTTGCTGAGTCATTTACTACTTTGAATAACTTTAATGGATTTCTTAGTATTTTCTGTATATAAGCTCATGTCATTTGCAAATAGGGACAATTTTAGTTCTTTCTTTCCAGTCTGGATGCTTTTCCTTTTTCTTCTCTACCTGCCTGAGCTGAAACATCCAGTACAATGTTGAATAGAAGTAGTGAGAACAGACATCTTGTTCTTGATTGTAGGGGGAAGCATTCAGTCTTTAACCATCAGCTACGAATGGTTTGAGTTTTTCCTAGATGCCCTCCCTCAGGGTGAGAAAATTCTCTTTTCTTAGTTTGAGTGTTTTCATTGTGAAAAGGTGTTGGATTTTGTCATGGTTTTTTTCTACCTCTAATGAGATGATCATGCGGTTTTTGTACTTTATCAATATGATATGTTATATTGTTTTTTTGTATGTTAAAACAACCTTGCATTCCTAGGATAAATCCCATTTGGTCATGGTAATTATTTTTTATATGTTGCCATTTTGGTTTGCTAGTATTTTGTTGAAGATTTTGTGTCCATAATTACTAAGATATTGGTCTGTAGTTTTCTTGTGATATCTTTGATTTTGGTATCAGGATAATATCAAAATGAGAAGTGTTACTCTCTTTTTTTTTTTTTTGAAGTGTTTGTGAAGTTTTGATATTAATTCTTCTTTAAATGTTTGGTAGAATTCACTAGTGAAGCCATCTAACCAGTTTTTTCTTTGTAAAATAAAATTAGAAATACTATTCTAAAAAGTTATTGATAATACAATGAAAGTTGTAGATCTGGCATGTGGAATGCATCATTCCCTCATTACAGTTTAAAATGAGATGTTCATTTTTGTGTAGAAACTGGTGAACATTCTTTGCTCTGTCAATATGGAGGCAAATATAATTTTTAAAAAATTTTTTTTAAAGATAAGGTCTCACTCTATCACCCAAGCTGGAGTGTAGTGGTCACTGGAACCACTACACTGGGGGAAACTGGAACCACTGGAACCTCTCTAATGATCCTCCTTCTTCAGCCTTTCAAGTATCTGGGACTGTAAGAGCGTGTCTACCACCAGGCCTGGCTATTAAAAAAAATTTTTTTTTCTGGGTGTAGTGGCTCACACCTGTAATCCTAGCACTCTGGGAGACGGAGGTAGGTGGACTGCTTGAGGTCAGGAGTTTAAGACCAGCCTGAGCAAGAGTGAGAACCTGTCTCTACTAAAAATAGAAAAGCTAGCTATGATGATGCCATGGTGACAGAGTAAGACTCTGTCTCAAGAAAAAAAAAAAGGGCTGGGCAAGGTAGCTCACACCTGTAAACCTAGCACTCTGGGAGGCCAAGGCAGGTGGATTGCTTGAGCTCACAGGTTCAAGACTAGCCTCAGCAAAAAAACAAGACCACCTCTCTACTAAAAATAGAAAAACTAAAGCAAGAAGATCACTTGAGCCCAATAGTTGGAGGTTGCTGGGAACTATGATGCCATGGCACTCTACCCAGGGTAAATAGCTTGAGACTGTTTCAAAAAAAAAGATATCTCATCATCAAAAAAATGCAAATAAAGAGGCTAATCAAACTTCTTGAGTTAACTGTTAGAAAAAGAATTCTTCATGAAAAGAAGGACTAATCAAGTTGAATATACTGTAAAATAAAAAACAAGAATTACTCAAGTAAGAGCAAGACAAATGTTTGGTGGGAGACAAAAGTATCCCTAATGCCCTGACTGGGAAAGAGCCCATTCCTTCACAGCAACTGCCTTTAGTTAAGGAGAACACTTGACAGAAGTATTTGCTCCTAATGATAGCCTTAGAACTTTTCCAGATGAATTTACATTTTTAAAAGAATGTGTTAAGCTAAATGTTAAGACAATGGTAACTTGAGGCTAGACTTTCTCAAGTTTCAGCAGAGTGCCCAGATTGAAAATAAGTGATTCTGAGTGCATACTCCTTCCAAGGGAGCCAAAGTTTACAGATTTTGCAGAGGACATACTAGCCTACAGATTGTCCATCACCATACTTAAAGATATATGAAGTACACCATCCCAGTTAAAACTGAGGCTGGGGTTGCTCCAAAAGCAGTGGCAAAGAAGTTCTCACAAGAGTCCACCAAACTGTCATGAGGTGGGTCCAGTTGCAATTCCAAAGAAAGAAATGAGAAAACCAAGTTGATTGGTCCAAAGCAATTATTAGAGGAACTTGTGTACAGAGTGCTGCAGCAATCCTCCTCATGGACAACAAATACATGTTCTACCTGGGTATGTCCACCACAAGGTGGTCGGGGCATGGAGTTTTATAAAGGGTTCCAGAAATCTGGCTCTGGGCCAGAATTGGGTTTCTTTCAGTATTTTGGGCAACCTAAACATCTTTTAACAGTGCCTGGAATGTTCATGGGCCCTGTGTAGGTCCTAGCTAGGCCACAAAGCAGTGAAGGTACTCTGCTTTTTGGTCAAGGCAGAGAAAAATGTGAGGGGAACTGGGTCACTATACCAGGATATAAGCAAATAAGGAAAAATTTTGAGATTTCTTTGGAGAGAGTTGTGATATAATATATATCCCCATTCTCTTCCCTTTGGGGGAAGAAAGGGGGTGATTCCTTGCTACCTTAAGACAAGCAAGAGCCCTCACTTTGGGTGGGATGAGGTCAGGAGGAAAAAGACCCTCTGGTCTTTGCTTAGCTGCAGAAATCTAAGTCCAGGCTGGTGAAAAGGGCTTGAGTTGAGCCCTTGGAGAAACCCTCAAAAATCATGCAAAGTATTTTTTCTTTGAAAGGAGCCAGTATTCAACTTTATACTAAGAATAATACAAATATCCAATAGCAGAAAGCAGTTTCTAGTTTTACCAGATAAACAGTGGTATACTTTTTGACACTGTAAAAATAACTACACCTCCAAGTATAAAGAGGGACAAATCTCACATACTACTAAGCAGTAGTTCTCAACCTTCCTAATGCCACGATCCTTTAATATAGTTCCTCATGTTGTGTCCCCCAAACATAAAATTATTTTCATTGCTACTTCATAACTGTAATTTTGCTACTGTTATGAATCATAATGTAAATATCTGATACGCAGGATATATTTAGGCAACCCCTGTGAAAGGGTTGTTTGATCCTTTTTCTAAAAGGTCACATAAGACTTCATATGGTATAATCCCATTAAAATGACTGTTCAGACCAATGTATGTACAGTATACAAGAGAAATAAGAACTATGAAATTTCAGATAGAGGTTGCAAATGGGGCAAGGAGGATCATAGGGAACTTCAAAGGTGTGACAAAAGTGTGTTTCTTATGTACAGAGGTGCATGACCAATAGTTCATTTTATTGTTATTCTATCCCTTATAGATGTTACAGTCTTCAGTGTACATACAATAAAAAAAGTTAAAGCCAGTTGTATCCAACTTTTTTTTTTCAATGTATTTAGTTACAGTTGAACATAGGAGATATTCTGAGAATTTTGTGGGTTCTTTTTGTTAGATGAATTCTCTAGAGCCCTCTAGGTAGGGAGCTGGAAAAGAAACACTTCAATCTTTCCTGCGAGGAGAAACTCCAGAGTTTTGTTATGAACTTGAGATAGTAAAACTACCGTATGTGCTTGGTCACTAGACTTTCAAACATGCTGTTTTGAGAAATTCTTACTCCCGTTAGCATGAACATGAGCCAAACACCTATTGGAGTCTAGCAGAGCAAGCAGCCTTACATTACACATAAAACCAGATACATAATTTAGATTCAACTTAAAGTCCTACGAGGGGTAAAGTTCAGAGCATTGTGAGGGTATTTAGCAGAAAACATGCCGACTTTGAGTCTAAGAGAGGCTTCTCTCCGAGAACACGGTATTTACACTGGGCCAGGATGCTAATCAGCCCTGGGGACAGGGGTGAGGGCGGCTACCCTGGGGACGAGCCAGGAGGCTTGAGCCCTTTGCACTGGTGGGCAGGTCAGGTAACCGGGTGCTCCGCAGGGGTGAGGGGAGTTGCGGGCCGGGGTTGTGTCCAGCAGCCCGAGGCCTGACACAAGGGGGACCGCGAGGGAGACTCAGGAACCCGAGACTTTGGCAGTCACCGCACTCGGGCGGCGTTCCCAGAGGTCCGACCTGGGAATAAAAACCTGGGAAGTATCAGAGTGGCAACTGGAGAGGTGACCTAAGGGACTCCTGAAAGACAACTGATACGGTCAAAGCTTTCTCCACACACTATCTTTTTAAACTTGGTAGTGACCTCCCTTGCCCCGCTCCGGACCCCCGCAAGCCGCCCCGGCGCGCCCTCGCGACTGCTCAATGCCCCCTACCCCTCGAGCACCACCACGCTGCCCGGAGCCGAGCGACTTTCCAGGCCTGAACGAGCCCCTGCGCTGCTCTGCGTCCACGGCCGGTCGCTCCCCTCCCCGGGCCCGGGGCCTTCTGCTCTCTCCCAGAGCAGCGCGGGCGCGCGCTCAGCCAACACTGCAGCGAAGCAACCCGGAGCACCACACTCACGCACACTTCCGGCGCGCGCCGCCACAATTTCTAGCACTCGCGCCCGGCCAGAAGGAGCAGAACGAGACGTGGTCAGTCAGCAAGTGCATGGAGGCGGGGCCTGGTGTAAGCTGGGGCGGGGCCGAGCCATGGCCACGCTATGGGGGTGGGACTGAGCTCCAAGGTGGATGCTCCTCGGCCCGAAGGGGTACTGGGTGGGGGCGTATCTGAGCAGCGAGTGGGCGTGTCTGAGGTGTATACGTATCTAGGGGGCGTGGCCTGGCTGGGCTCATTCGGCGCTAGGCGGGGTTGGGCCTCCGCAGAGCGAGCTCCAGGAGGGGTGGGGTCGCAGCTGGGGCGGGGTCAGGATTGGGGCGAGGCTCTAGGCGAATTGACCGTCGCTCTTTGACCTCCCGGAGGTCGGGGTCGCACTAAGGCGCCTAATAAACCTGGGCTGTTTTGGAGGATTTAGTGGGACCCTCTGACATCGCGGGGTGGGCAGCGGTTGGCTGTACCTCGGGTCTTTACCTGGTACCAAGTGTGTTGGGCGGGATTCCGAGACCCTTCAGAAACTCTGCCTGGGCCTGAAGGTGAGTCTGGACAGATATTTACTGTTTACCTGTTCTCTTGGCAATCGTAGATCAAGTTTTACATAAGCTTCAGATTGTATAGTTTATATTTTACTTTTTTACATTAACCTAGTTTTTTGTTATTTTATTTGGTTTTTGGCTTTTTAATGTTTAGCAATCCCTGAAAAACTATTTTTTAGGAAGGTAGCACTTGTTTGTGCTGATATGCATAAGATATATTGGTGTTCAATGATACTGGAGTTATGGACACCTGGTGTCAACGGAAAAGAACCCAAATTCAGTAAAACAATTTAAAGAAGTTTACTCTGACCTAAATATGTGTGCCTTTGGCCTGGAAAGCCACACTCAAGCAGCCTTGAACACGTGCGAGGACATGTGTTCCACCTGCACCCTTACTGACATTCCCTTACAATATCAGCAGGCATCAGCCTCCAGGAGAAACAAATCTGGCAGCAAAAGGGAGACGTATTTGACCCAAATAGAAAATTGTGGCTAGACTCTAACAAAAACTCATGTCGATGTAGGTGCACAATTGCCTCTCCTTCAGTTTATTCACGAATGACTCCTGCCTCTGAGTAGATGATAACATGGAGAAAACAACATTTCTGGAAACCTTCTAACACAATATCCCAAAAGATACAATCTCAGTGTAGTGTAAGTCCAAAACATAACCCTAGCAAACTCTTTTGTGGTGCCCAAGGTCATTTTTCTTCCTTCCTTTCTCCCTCCCTCTGTGCTGTGGTGTCAGCCTAGCTCACAGCAACCTCAGACTACTGGGGTTGATCCTCCTGCCTCAACTTCCCAAGCAGCTGAGACTACAGGTGCCCACCACCACCTCTAGCTAATTTTTCTATTTTTTGTAGGGACAGGGTATTGCTGTGTTGGTCAGGCTGGTCTTAAAGTCCTGAGCTCAAGCAATCCTCCTGCCTTGGCCTCCCAGAGTGCTGGGATTATAGATGTGAGCCACCATACCTGTTCCCCTAAATTCTTTTCATGTCTTTTCTTTTTTTCTTTCTTCTTCTTCTTCTTTTTTCCTTATAGGACCATTTGAAGTATGGCAACTCCAGATGCTGTTATCTCAAGATTATAAATATGTGTTGGTTTTGGGTTATATGTTTTCTCATTGGGTAGAAGCATTTCAGTGTCAGAGGGCTACTGCCTTAGCAATAGACAAAATGCTGCTAGACTCACTCCAGTTTTGGGCATCCTTTCTGAGCTACACAGTGATCATAGGGGGCTTACTTCACTGGACAAGTTGTTCTGTCGATTTGCAGATTCTGGCTCTTGTTGTGCCTACCATCTCCAGACCTGCAAGTTGGTAGAACAGACAAATGGCATAATAAACACTCAATTAGCTAAGTTCCTGGAGGCTTTTAACCTCCCTTTGCCTGAAGTCCTCCCACTGGTCTTGCTTAACCCTTAACTCCTCTCCTTTGGATAGCATTATCACCTTATGAAGTAGTGACAGAAGGCCCTGAGGCTGGATAAAGGCTTATATCAGCTGGCCCTATGCAAGGGGGAAGAAATAATACAAAGTTGGTGACCAAGTCTTTCCACAGTGAGGTTCCCAGGTGAAAGACTGCAAGATCACAGTTTACAGCCAGATAACTTTATTTATCCAAAAAGGCACCAATGAAAGGACTCCCCGCAACCTGCTGGAAAGGACTTTGGCAGGCACTTCTAACTCTTGTGCCATAAAAGTAAAGGCAACTACTTCTTAGATTCATATCTCACACCTAAAACACACCCAGCCACATTGATGACCACACCTGGCTCTCTGAACCAGTCTCAAACTGCCTGCAATTTCAGAAAATGCCCAAGGCTCAGCTGGTCTTCACGGCAACAACCAAGGCAGATATCCTTCCAGAGACTGTGCACCAGGCCATCCTCAGCACCCTGAGATAGCTCTCACTGTCATCTTACTTGCACTGGTCTAGAATATAGTGAATGCTTTAATCAAGACCCCCTGGCTCGGCGCCTGTGGCTCAAGTGGCATATTCTCCATCTGCCTACCCTACACTCCTTCTCTCTTCAAACCCCAAAACATCTCCTGGATCCCTGCAAACATCACCTAGTTCCCTGCCAACAGCCCACGTGGTTTTGTGTGACAGGTCAGGATGAATAAAGGAACTGAGTGGACAGCTCTACTCCAAACATCCCCCGAGATGCCCCTTTTCCTTTCATTCATCTCACAGTGCCTCAGGATGATTGCTAGGGGCGGGGGGGTCTAGTCAGGTGGGACATTTTATGAGAATATAGATATTGGTAGTGATCAGCTTAGTGCCTGGGCCTCCTATGTGAACTGCCCTACATCCCCTGCCCAGTGACTGCCAGCCCTGCTTCTAGCTGCCTCACTGGCACTGCCTCAGAGAACTCCCCAGGGGGTCATCTGGTGGACAGAAGCCCTGGAAAGCACAAATTCCACTGCAAGGCAAGGGTGCCACTGAAAAGCCTCATGGGATACTCAGACAAGCCTGATTCTGTTTACCCAGTCTGCACAGATAGCATTAGCAGGCAGTGGCAACAGCAGTCCTAGTGGTCACACTAAAACTGGCCTCCCGCCAAGACTAAACAGTGACCTCCTTAGAGGAATTGGAGCTGAGTAGGTAAAATCACAAATCAGTGCGTGGAAAGTATGCAGTGGTTTGTCCCAAATAGGAGGAGCATCTTGCAGCAGCTTACAAGTTACAGGTAGGTTTAAAGATTCTTTGGTTAGTAATAAGTTAATGAAATGACTTATGGCTGGGTGCAGTGGCTCACACCTATAATCTCAGCACTCTGGGAGGCTGGGGCAGGTAGACTGCTTGAACTCAGGAGTTCAAGACCAGCCTGAGCAAGAGTGAGACTCTATCTCTACTAAAAATAGAAAAAATAGCCAGGCCTGGTTGTGGCGCCTGTAGTCCCAGCTACTTGGGAGGCTGAGACAAGAGGATCCCTTGAGCCCAAGAGTTTGACGTTATTGCGAGCTGTGACACCATGGCACTCTATCCAAGGTGACGGTGAGACTATCTCAAAAAAATAAAAATAATTTAAAAAGGAAGCTTTTTCTAAAGGTTGCAATGTTTTAAGTTAGGCAAGTCTGTGAATCAGAGACAAGTCTCAATGGACTGAGTCCAGTGACCTATTGTGCACATCTGGGGCCTGCCTTCCCTGGCTCTTAGTGTCCCCATTGCACTTTGTCCTATGTCCTTTGCACTCAGGGCTGCTCCCCTGGTCTCTTAAGGCTCCAGAGTCAGTGGACTCACACGCCCCTTCCTGTCCCAGGCAATGCCTGCCAGAAGACTATAAATCTCTGACTTTTCCTTTGGAAAAAGCAGTTGGAAGCTCATTTTACTTTTCTTTCTCGATCTCTTTACTTTTCTTCCTTTGAAAGAAGAAAATCCTGAACTAAGAGCCTTAAGTCTCTTGAAGGCAATTTCAACAAAGGTAATGTTCTTTTTCTTAATTAAGTAATCATCTTAAGAACTAATTAAGTAATTTTTAATCTATTTTAGCAGGTCAGGTTGGACAGCATGAGAAAAATGCATGTAGTAGTCAGGAAGTGTAAATGCCTCAACCATCATGCTGTTAGCCAAGAACAGAGCTGTAACAATTTTGACTTTTCTAAATTTCAGAGGTGGGAGTACCCTGGGGTGGTCATGTCATGGTTATCCAGCATGGAACACAGCAGAGGCCACCTGTCCTCTCAGCTTTGTGATGCAGAAGTAGAGAGAAGGGACTGAGGGTACAATTGGCACAAGAAGCCCCAAGACCTCTGAGAAGGCTGCAAAGGGCAGAGTCAGGTCCCCGGGCACCTGTGGGCCCTCAACAGTCACCTTTCAGAGATGGGACAAGCCTGGTGCTGGTGAAAGGAGCTGTGGAGCAAGGGACCAGGGCTGTGTGCACTGCTGCTTTCCGTGTCCCCTGGCTGGGCTCTTGTGTCCTCTCCCTGGGGCAGCTGAACCACAGGGTCTCGGCCCCTTCCACATGCAAACATGGACAGTAATTGTGCAGTTGATGTATACTGTTGCCTTTTAAACAGTGTTGATGGATAGACGAAGATAGAGAGTCAGGAATCAAACCACCTTCGTGTGAAAAAAACTAAAATATTATTCTCTTGGATAAAGCTATTTTAATATTTTACTCATAGTCCAAAAAGTAAACATAAGTTTTT